TTTGTTTTCCCCCTTTTCTTTGTTTTCCACCTTTTCTTCATTTGTCCAGCAATGCAGAAACTCGCCAAACGCGCGAAACGCCAGAAACAAATCGCTGATCATACACTCCTCAGCTGATACATTTCAACATTTGCCCAGCAATGAAACGAGCCCGAATTCTCCTTCTACCTCCTCTTCTACCTTATCTTCTACCTCTTCCTTCGCCTCCTCCGCTCTCCTCCTCTCTCCTCCTCTCTCCTCCTCTCTCCTCCTCTTCTCTCTCCTCCTCTCTCCTCCTCTCTCTCCTCATCTCTCATCATCTCTCCTCCTCGCTACTGTTGCTATGCCACTAGGCTCATGTGGGGAAGAGTCGGAGCCTCCAGCCCAAGGAGGCATGAGAGAGAGAGAGAGGGTGGATAAGGTGAAAAGCGAGAGGAGGAGGAGAAAGAACACGACTCCGACAAAGACGAGGAGGAGGGGTTGGAGGAGGAGGAGGAGGAGGAGGAGGAGGAGGAAGAGAAGGTGGTGCTCCACACTGCATCTTGTCGAGTTCTTTGACACAATCTCCGACATCGAGAAGACATAAGGACAGGTAATCAAAACGCAGCAATGAGCAGCAACGAGGAGAAGACGAAGAAGAAGACGAAGAAGAAGACGAAGAAGAAGACAAAGAAGAAGAAGAAAAAGGAGGGGAAGGCCTCGTCGTGTCGTGCTGCTGCTATTTGGCGCCACGTGTACCTGCCGCCTTTTCCCGTTGTTGTCGTGATTGGTGCCATGCCCGATGTCGCTATTGGCGCAAAGTGTACCTGCCGCCTCTTTTGCCCTTATTGCCGCGATAGGGCAGGTACAGGCGCCACGTGTACCTGCCGCCTTTTTTTTGCCATTATTTTCGCGATTGGCGCCACATCTACCTGCCGCCTTTTTTGCCATTATTGTCAAGAAGATTGGGCGCCACGTGTACCTGCCGTCTTTCTGCCCTTACTGCCGCGATTGGCGCCACGTGTACCTGCCGCCGTTTTTGCCATTATTGTTGTCGCGATTGGTGCCACGTGTACCTGCAGCCTTGCTTTTGCCATTGTTGTCGGGATCGGTGCCAAGTGTACCTGCCGCCTTTTTTTGCCTTGTTGTCGGGATCGATGCCACGTGTGTACCTGCCACCTTTTGCCATCGTCGTCGGGATTGGTGCCACTTGTACCTGCCCCCTTTTGGCTTGTTGTCGGGATCGGTGCCAAGTGCACCTGCCGCCTTCTTTTGGCCTGTTGTCGGGATCGGTGCCACGCGTACCTGCCCACCTTTTGACATCGTCGTCGTCGGGATTGCTGCAACGTGTACCTGCCGCCTTTCGGCTGGTTGTCGGGATCGGTGCCACGTGTACCTGCCTGAAAAATGGCTCTCCGCTTTGGCGCTCGCGATCTCCCGCGCTTTTGCGTTTTTGTCGTCTTGTCTCCGCTCGCTCCTCCTCCGGCGTAGTTTAGGCAATACTCTCACTCAACTCCCGCCTTCCCTCGAACACAACGCAGCCTCATCGTGACAGTATCGGACCGGGACAGCTTGTATACATTCGTGATCGGTTTGCGTTGTGTTCGGGGAAAGAGCGCGGAACTTTCTCTTCACTGAGGGCGTATTCAGACTAGGACCTTTTCGACTGATCTTGGTCCGATTACAGTCCAGATACATACACAATACTGAGAGAGCCCTGCACGTCGAATTTACCAATAATAAAAGAGAAAAAAGGCATAACTAGAACGGTGGACAGCGGAGCGATCATCGGGGCATCAACAGCGCAACAAAGAAGAAGAGGAGAGGAGGAGGAGGAGGAGGAGGAGGAGGTGGAGGTACCTCCCACATCTTCTGAGAAATAGAAATAATCTAACAGGGGGTGGAGGAGGAGGAGGAGGAGGAGGAGGGACCTCCCCCATCTTCTCAGAAATAGAAATAATCTAACAGGGGGAGGAGGACGAGGAGGGGAGGAGGGGGGGGGGGGGGAGGAGTCCCGCCTCTGTCTCCCAATTCTTGAGGTGGTCAGCGATTACAAGCAGGAGAAGGGTTTTGGCCCTCCCCGAATACTCACCAAATATGCAAGATGAAGAATGCATCTTCCGCTAGAACCTGGAAAGATACACTCGCCATAGCTTTTGTCCTACTCACATTGACGAGAGGTGCGGCCAGGTCCATTGGCAGACGCCAAGAGAATCGAACATTCACTCGGAGTTCGAGGAGAGAGTGAAGAGGAGAGTCAGGAGGAGAGAGACTGAGGAGAGAGAGAGAGGAGAAGGCAGAGGAGGGGAGACCCAGGAAGCAGAGGAGGAGAGACCCAGGAGGCAGAGGAGGAGAGACCCAGGAGGAGGTAGAGGAGGAGGCAGAGGAGGAGAGAGAGAGGAGGAGGCAAGAGGAGGAGAGGGAGGCGGAGACAGCGAGAAAGAGAAGGAGAAAAGGAACACGACGACGGCAGGATGCATGGCAAACAGGGGAAGCGAAGGACGCACCTCGTCGAGGCTCTCTGTTCATCATTAACCGCTGGATCCACTCCTACAACGAAGGCGTCAGATGCTGCCACGTGGCATCACCACAGTAGCCATCAAATCCATGTCCACGTGTATAATCACCCTCCAAGTGGACGTTGCCCTAGATTCGCGCATCCCTACGTGTAGAGGGAAAGATACGGCCCTAGCACCGACCGAGTAGCGCTTCACCAATTCGGAGAGGGACTGACGGAATCACCGCCAACAGGGTGTTGGCTCCACACAGGCCTCACAATCGCGAGATCGACGATCCAACGGTCATTTTTCCCGTCCCCGCCCGAAGGCATTGAGAGTATGATAGTTGCCCTTTCGAGCCCTGCATGGTCCACGCAAACGAACTGTGATTGTGTCAGAGTTCGAACTCATGATCTGCGTACTACCAGTACAACTAGCTCACAGTCCAGGCAGACCTGTACCAACCAGCCTACCGGTAGCTCAGTTGATACACACGCGAACTACCGGTAGCTCAGTTGATACACAAGCGAACTACCGGTAGCTCAGTTGATACAACCGCGAACTGTTGCGAGGGAGGGCCTCGCTGCACCACTCTCGAAATGTGCAAAACGAGAGCGAATCTTCTGCTAGAAGATGGAAAGATACACCAGCATGAGTTTTGTCTTTTGTGCATTTCGAGAGTAGTGCAGCGAGCCCCGGAGCCGGAGACTCGAGTTCGAAACCTGCACAATCAGCTGAACAGAATAAGGGCCAGATCCCACTGGCAAAGAGGATTGGAATAAGTGTCTGAATCTGGACGTGTTGCACGCAAAGACGCAGAAAAGCACTTCAATCAGAGTTTTCTGAACTTCGCCACAAAACACGTCCAGATTCGGACACTCATTCCAATCCTGTTTGCCAGTGGGATCTGGCCCTAAAACAAAAGCGAGACCTGCCCTAATATCGGCTAACGAAGGGGCGTGGATCGAACAGTTATGCTCCGTCCGCAACTTTTCCGGGTAAATAGGGAACCCCACGTTGGCCGCTGCAGACCTGTCCCACTCACCCGCATATGGGATTCGCCAAGTCATGCGGGGGAATTTAAGGCTTGGATCCCACTATTGTTAGTGAGGAAATTTTAGGTCAAAATTCGGATCCCACAATGCACCGGGGCTTTCGGGACCCGAAACAATTTCGCCTGTTTCTACTCACTATTTGCATCGTGTCGACCAGGCCGCAACGCCCGCCGCGAAACGACACTTGTTTCGCAAAAGCAGGCATCCCCCTACCCTGTTCCCTAAAAGCCGCGAGCACCAAAAAAACAAAGTTTTTTTTTTTTTTTTTCGTTTACGGCAGCGCGATTGGGTCCGACGCAAATGGACCAACATATTTCGGCACGACTTTTGCAAAAGCCCCTCGAAGGACGGGCCTGTGGAGTCCAAAAAAAATTTTACGGACCAAAAGGCAAGGACCCTCCTTTCGAGGGGCTTTTCCGACTTTTTGTTAAAAGCGCCATGTGGGATCCAAGCCTAATGCCCATCGGTCGGCGCTTCCCCGAACATGCGAAGACAACTTGTTTTCTACTCGAATACAATGCGTGCGTTCTATTCGTTATTTTTCGAATACAACGCGCCAGCGTTCTATTAGGATTTTCGAATTTTTCAAAAACTAATACGAAGCATATGCATTATAGAGAGGGTAGCTCAGTTGGTAAGGCACACAACTGGTGTTACAAAGGTCGTGGGTTCAATCCTGGTTGCGTGGGCACACTCTCTGTGCCCTTCACCAAGAGATGGCTCTGCAGTTAACAAACAATACGCACGCTAGTAGGCCAACGGGGGATAGAAAGAAAGAAGGAAAGAAAAGCAATGACCATAAACTTTCCTTTTAAACTCGAGATAGCGTTGAATCATAGCACACATGTGTTCTGAAACCACCAGTACGTCACCCAACTATTGAAGTTGAGGCTGAAAATGCCCTGCACGCCAAAGAAAAAACAACTTGAAGTCGGCGCAAGCCTCCTTTTGGCTAGTGCTGCCACCCATTTGCTCCGGTACCCCGACCCTCAAAAGTTGTGAAGATTGCAGAGCATTCCGAAAACTTTAAGTAGTTTCCCCAACCTGAAATCAACGGAACTAAAGTATTGATGAGTCAGTGTACAGTGAAACCTTTGTGAGGTTGTATTACCAAACGAGTTTGCGAAAGAAGTGTTTCCTGTGATTTATCGGACAGAGCAACTCTGCCGACGAGCCCATGGGATTCAGACACGAAGCATCTGCTCTTCGAGCCTTTGCCAAGGTGGAGAACGTCATGTGCTAAGAAATGGAATCCTTCTCCCGTAGTGACTATGCGAGCTTGATCAGGCACAAAGTTCAGGCCCATGGTTTGGAGCCATTGTGATAGGAACCCTTGAGCGCCTTGAACAACTCTTCGAGAAGTAAGCACTGCATGAATAATGTGAGGTCACTTTGATGACGTTGGATGTCACAAAATTTGAAATGCTTTGTTTTTTTTCTCCTGCGAACTGTGCATTGTCGAGCGCATCGGTCCCGCAAGGGGACCCTCCCGACCGCGTCACGCAGGATTTGGTCGTGATGTAAATGGAGCTTTAGTAGTCGCGCCGACCGAGTGCGCCAGCTATACCTCTCGCGGGCCCCTATGACAGGATAGGGCCTACGCGAGGTACAACTTACCTCCACCTGTAGGAGTTGTCACTTCCCTTCGGTGGGCGTATCCCCGTCGAGCTACCAGTCCACAATACGAAAGTTAATCAGTTGCGATCGCAGAGGTGGGCCAGTCGAGGGCGTTTCTCGTACGTTGTAGCATAGGGGGTACGCGCGGTCTCACGCCTCTATCAGACCAACACGCGAAACGATGCATTGGGGGTCGAAGTCCCAAGCGCGACTCGATGTCAGTCGACTAGGACACATCTAACCTACACGCGTTACACCATTTCAAAAACATAAAATCAAAATACACACATACAACAAAACAAAACAAAACACTCGTAGTCAAATCCGTATCCAACCCATAACCTTCTGATCTGGAAATCGGTTAAACGTCGGGCGCGAGACTTAAGATAAAACCGTGCGGACGTAGAGTCTCCTCATATCGATTACCAATGCATAAATACGCAAGCAGTCGCTACGACGACATGCTATGTAGTACCCATAATCGTGTGACCCTCAGTGGTCTTGATGGTCGTGTTTGACACTCAAGTGTCGGCTGACACGCGTCTTTGAGGGGTTAGTCTCTCGACGCTAAACAACCACCTAAGGCGGTTGAGAACCACACCGTTTTCTGCACCCTGCGGAGAGTGGGGATACACAGGTTCCAACATGTGGTGACAGTCAGTTCTCGTGGCCTTGGAGGCTATCTCCATCATCCAGGGCCTGGAGAGAAATCAAGGGGTTTGACTTTGACGGTTGTCACGGACTACAACGTCCAACTATAATAAATCTAAAAAACAAAAGGTAAAAAGGGATTTTTTTTTTATCTCAAGGCATAATCTGTTTAACTTTTATGCACGGTCGCAATAGGTTGTGCGAACACTCAAGGCACATATATATACATATATAAGGGTTATTAATATGAGACGATCACTTCTTACAATCACAGTGAGACTGTCATCAACCATATATATGTGTGTGATCACAGACAGTCAAATACAAAGTCCAGAACCACAAAACATACTTGCAATCACATCAAAGATTCAACCAAAGTTCATGCACTACACGGGGTCAACTTCAACCACTCTTTGTTCTCACACCCCTCGCCTCAGTTATTCAAACTCCAACCTTTGTCCAACCTTCCATAATAAAATACTTTGTATCTTTGTTAAATGACCATTCAATAAAGTTCGGGTGAAAAGTCAACGAAACAATTTAAATCACAGCGTTAAAGCCTTTAGGTTGAGTTAGGAAGAGCAAATTGGAGTTGAGTCGTAAGCCGACGAGTCGGCAACCGACATGTTATCAGTGATAACAGAAGATGATCCTCATGAGATCAAGTTGAAACTAGTTCATATCTTTAATAAAGTTGATCAAAGAAAGACTTGTAGCACAAGACAGACCGATCCCCAAAGCTAGACTATAAGTTCATGGAGGATGAACCCACACGTCATGCCTCTCTCAATTTTTTTTTCTAGCTAAGTCTTAGTCTACCTCTAAGTTAGTGCCCAAAGAAAGCTAGACCTTGACAGCATCTCCTTTATGCAAGGTGGATCGTCAGAATCTTCACCTGTCAAAATATAATCCAACTCCTTTTAAACTAAGAAAATTTTGGCAGCGCTTCCCATATAAAAAATATCTTTTTATAATTTATACTAACTCGAATACGAAAACAAAAACAGTCTTCAACTTTAGAAAATCAAATTTTGTCTAACTCCCTGAATTAGTAAAAATTTGGGCAGCATCTCCTTCAGAGAAGTAGGTTTCTCATATTTATACTAAGTCAGATAAGAACTCGAAAATAAGACTATAGTTCCTGCCAAGACAAAATTTAACTAACTTTTTAAATTTTTAAAAATTTTAGCAACGCTTCTCGTAGAGTAAGTAGCTTTCCAAAATTTATACAGAACTAAATACAGAAATATGAAATAACTCTGACCTTCAAAAACTAAAATTTGTCGAACTCCTTGAATTAATAAAAATATGGGCAGCACTCCCTTAAAGAAAGGTTTTCTTGATTTCTACTAAGCTAGATATAAACTTAGACAAAAAGTTGAACTTTGAAAAGTCAGGTTTGACTTACTTATTGGTTTTGTAAAAAAATCGGTAACGCTTTCCGTAGAAGAAGTACCTTTCCAATATTTACACAAAACCAAGTGTAACAAAAGATCCTAGAAAATGCGATAATTCACCTAAGCAAAAAAAAAAAGTTCATAAAATGCAGGAATTGAAGTTAACTCTTATAACTCTAGCACGCGGCGAGCATCTAAAGCAACTACCTATCAAACTGAAACTCAGACTAAGTAAAAATTTCACTTAGCCACATGCAAGTCTAAGTCACAATGATAAGTATTCTCACCAGCCTCAAGGTTAAAAATTGTCAAACAATAATTTATAATATTTTAATGATTTATCCCTTATACCCAACTTACATAAGGCGTAAAGCTAGACCATCAAACTAAGGAATAATCGTCTAGTTCAGTCCTTGAATGCACACAAACACAGGGCACCACAACTTTTCTCTTCTTTAGGCATGTGACTAGGTCGTCCAACTTAGTACAATGCTTAGTCGTCCTGAACCGTAAAATAAAAAGTTATATATATATATATATATATCGTCAAAATA